ACGAGCTGACACGAGCATGCAGCAGGACCTAGCACGAGCTGTCACGACATAGCATAAGAAAGCACGACTCTCTCTCGAGCTAACACGAGTTGGCAGAACTTCTTGTACCTCAATGCGAATAAGTTCGAGTTAGCACGAGTTATTCGATATCAAGAGTTGACAGGACTCAGCCTTGCATAGCAGGAGCTCTTACATCTCAGCTCCAGCTCCTGCTCCTGCTGTTATTATTAGCACGACTCAGCTAGAGCTCTTGTGAGTGCTAGCTAGCCTTAACTAGTACGAATTGACACATCGGGGCACGAAAAGCACGAGCTAGCACGACACATTTGCCATCTTACATACTTAATTCCAGATAATTTATTATAAAAATCTATCTCATTCGTGCCGGTGTCCTGTGTCGTGTATCGTGACACGATGTCAGGCATCTCTCTTCTAGAGAGGGTGTCTCTATTCTATAGAAGTTAGCCAAGTCCTAGACCAATACCGTTTGCTTTGTGGCCCGTGCCGCGCGCTTTATTAAAATTTCATTGTTGCTGAATAGCAAAAACCCGAAAGACGAAGATGGAGCTGAGGAGGAGTGGCAGCAGCAGGAGGCGGCGGATTGGCTCCCTTTGGGGACATTGTTATAAATTCCAATTGCTGCGCTTGAGAAATGTGAAAAATGCGCCATGTAAATTATTTCAGCGTCTTGGACGCATTTTTTATTGTGCATGATAAATTTTTATTGTAATTGGCTGTTGATTTATGGCCGCAGGACGCGGCACGGCAGCAGCAGCAGGAGCAGCCGCAGCCTCAGTCGCTGTGATAAGAGACGAGATAAGCAGCCACAAATGCTAGCTGGCTGGCATTCAATTTGCCCACAGATAGGCAGGACATGGAGATGGACATGGCACATGGTGGGGGGCGTGGCACTGATAATTAGAAATGGAATTGGCTATTTGGTATTTGGTGGCCACATCGAATGGAAAATTCAAGTGCCCGAGCATAAAAACTAATCGCAGCAACAAAAGTTAAACCAGAGAGCAAAAAAAAATGGGAGAGAAACAAAATGAAAATAAAGAAGATCATCTATGCAACGATGCGTAACACGAGCCACGCCCACCCCCCTTTACTTTTTACTGGTACAGCCCACCCAAGCAGGAAGCAGCGGACGAGGCTCCGACTCCGACTCCAACTCCGACTCAAATGCCTGGGCCTCCTTTCATGGCTAACATGGCGAAACCAAAGCGCATTATTGTTAGATGCTCCTCAAAAGATGGGGGGGTGGGAGGGGGGAAAAGAAACAAAAGACAGAGTCAAACGCCATAAAACTTTATGAAGCTGGCAAGGCAGCAGCAGAAGTGGCAGATTTCGTAATGCCTTTGTGAAAGATTTCATGGTAATTTCACCGGGTTATAACAATTTACAAATTATGTAATCGAAATTTATTGCCTGCGCACCTTCAGGCACCTACGAGCAGGCAGACGAACGGACGGACGAACGGACGGAGGGACGGACAGCTGCCACGGCACGCTTTCAAGATTCTATAAAGAGCGGTTGGGTGGGCCACCAACCACCAGCACCACCAGCACCACTGCCACCACCACCGTATGCAGGTGGCTTTGATGGGCAGCTGATGCTCTGCCACATTTGACTTGGGGCAACAAATGCGAATTCTCAACTATCTAGATAAAGCACTGTAGCTTCTGGGTAAAGACTTGGACTCAAGATATAACTGGAATATATATATATATTTTGTAAGAGAAGAGTTGGAGCCTAGTTCAGAGCATTCTTTATGCTGAAACTTGAAGACTTAACAAAAGTTATTCAATTAAAATTTGAATGAAAAAGCGTCGATTGATTCGGAGCGTCCAACAGTTCTTTCTCAAGAATCCATTTATAGCATTTGTTTACAAATTTGACCTATAAATAGACATAATCCTCTTAAATCTAACTCAACAGCAGATCCCTGCTCTTCTGCTCTTCAAATCTCTTTAGACTCTTACTGCCCCTCATTCACATTTCTCGCATCTGCAGACCCCTTTGGTAAGCCCGCTGGACCAGATCATCGTTTAGCTTGTTTGTTTTATTTGGCCACAACCAACAATAATATGTGTGAATTAACAGAGCAACTGCAGCAGCCAGGCCAACTCTTTATGCACGCTTGGCATGCACTCGCCTTGCAGCGCTGCCAGCTTAGCCTATTTCAGGCTAGATCTAGCTTGAGAGTGGTCTAGCCATTCCAAATGAGCATGGGAGGGCATGGTCAGAAAATGAGGCAGACTATGCAGACTAGAGAGAACTATGGAGCAGAAGAAGCTGCTCTCTATGCCATCTAATCATTAAATATAAATATTCATGTAGACAAGTTATTTAGTATAGTAAAATTTAGACTTATGAAACATTTGCATATCAATATATATTAATCCGATTAACTATGTATGTCTAGGTGTTTCTCTGTCAGTCTCTCAGACTACCTTACAGTCTGTCTCTTCGTCTCTCTGCAAGTGGAAGACAAGAAGAAGAGCTACAGAAGTTCATTCAAGTTGTCTATGTGCATGCAGCAGTACCCTCTCCTATTTATAGCTGCGTAAAACGAAGCTAGAATGCCCGAGAGCGTTATCCCATTGCTCACTTTAAGTTCGGTTGCAACGACTGGTCTCAGGCTCATCAGCTCATCGGCTCACTGAGTGGGAGTGAAAGTTGCCCTATATAAAGGGCAGCAGCTTCAGCATTTCTTCAG